ATTTCTTGCTTAGATTACCAGACATAGGATTGCCAGATTTATCAAGCATTTCAACAATAACTCTTCCTTTCATGAAACCTTAATTTTTTCTTGTCATTTTTAATTTTTATTTTTTAAATTTATTTTACAAAGAGTATAAAAATTATAGATGAGACATTAGATACAATACACATTTAAAAGAACTAGATGAAAGATATTCAGCTGTGGTTACTATATTGCACATTGCCGTCCTCAATGAACTTGGTCATATTACACATATTAGCAATAAGAGTTGATCAAAGTAAAAACTTTCATACATTCACTGCTACCTTTGAAAAATGAATAGAAATGAGTAATACAATCATCTCTGCTATCCTGCGTATGTACTTCCATATTTTCCCCTTCTTTTTTGTCCTTTCTTTTCTCCTTTCCCTCATCTCTCATGTTTATGGCTTATGTTCAGTTTCTGTCTGTTTTACTATATCTATTATGTTTTTCAGATTTTAGTTATTCTTTCAGGTTCTGAGGAGTGGATAAAAAAGATGTGATATTTTTATACAGTGGCATATTACTCAGCTATAAATAAAGATAAACTTCAGGCTTTTCTTGGTAGATGAATGCAACTAGAGGCTATACTTCCAAGTCAAATGTACAGATTATTAATTCCTTCAGAGAGAAGACTTAAAAGATTCCAACTTTCACTGCAATTCTAAATATTAACTCTCCCAATTTCTCTGCTGAGAAAATCAGAAAAGTATTTTCATTGTCATCATGCTGCATTCAATTGCTTTTCTAATTTAAGATAGTCCATATTTTAAAAGACATTTTAAAAGAAAAGAACTCAAATCTTACAAAATTTAAAAGTAAGTTATAATCCACCAGAAAAATATAACTTCAAGGTATAAAAAATAATGCCATATGAATATGCTGAGCTCTAAAAGGCTCAAGTCAATAACTTGTGACAATGCCAGTTCTGCTGCTAACCCACTACTATTATGGACTACTGGACTATACTGAGTTATTTTGATGAATTCAAGTACCTAAAATATTTGAACTGGCATCAAGTATGAAAAGATCCTTTAAAGACTTCTGCAAATACAGCTTCTCCAACACCAATGGAACACCCATCTCTGACAAAACAAAACAGAAAAGGGGAATACAAATGAAGGACCATTTTGTAGCGAGATTATATATATA